GTTATGATTATGTGTGTATGTGGTTGTACAAGTGTGCCTATGTTTTAAAACTTCTCAGGTGGACACTTTTTCTACTGGAAGTTTATGTGTTGCATCTGATAAATCTATCACAGACACCCAAAGGCTCAACACAGGAAAAGAGTGAGAGAATCAATGATAGCTGAAAATAAGAGACTCAGTAGCAGGCATCTATATGGACAAAGGTTCTGTTTTCTCTCAGCAGACAGTAGAATGCAGCAAAGTCACACATGTCCTCCATGTAGGAAGAGAGAAAGAGGGAAAGAAAGTCATCCCAGGTTTGTGTGGTTTGTCCAGGACCTGGACCAGGAAGCAGTTTGATCACAGCTTAGGAGAGGATAGGCCCAGACAGTGGGGGAGAACATTTACAGCACAACAGCTCTCCTGTAGGAAAGGAAAATGTTCCCAATAATTTAATAATTTTACATATTTCCCAAGAAGACAAATACAAATATGCATGTTAAGGATACATGAAAAATAAAAATAGACAAAGAGATAAAGACCAAGAATTCATCTCATAATGAGATTTTATGTTAAATTGAATGACATCATTGCCACCAAAAGTTCTCAGCACATTAACATCAGGTGTGATCTCTGCCTTCTCTGAGTTTTTCATGCCCAGAACTTTCTATATAGCAGGAGACCATGCAAATAGGGCCTCCCTGTGCTTAGGAAAACCAGCTCAAACCTCACCCTGCAGCTGTGCAGAGTAGCCCAGCCCTAGATGTCCAGCTGTTCCCATTCAGTGATCAGGACTGAGCACAATCACTATGGAGTTTCGTATAGTTGTGTTTCCCTGTGAGACCAGAGGATATGGAATGGGAGAAGTGGACATAACTGGGATAAACAGTGGACATCTGTGACAATTTTCTGAAAAGGATGTGTTTGCAGGTGTCAAAGCTGAGGAGCAACTAGTTGAGTCCAGGGGAGGCTTTGTGCAGCGCGGGGGTCCCTGAAACTCTCCTATGTGACCTCAGGATTCATCTTCAGTAGCTATGTCATGTGCTGGGTCCGCCAGTCTTCAGGAAAGGGGCTGGATTGGATTTCAGACATCAGTACTGGTGGTAACACATACTACGCAGATTCCGTGAAGAGCCAATTCACCATCTCCAGAGACAACCGCCAAGAACACTCTGTATCTGCAGATGAACAGCCTGAAAACTGAAGACACGGCCATGTAATACTGTGTGAGAGAAACAGTGAGGAAACATTAGTGACACTGAGCCCAGGAAAAAAAACCTCTCTGTAGGGCGTTCATGCCCAGCAGAGGTCGCTGTGGTCCATGGAGAACCTAGCAGGATCCCAGAGGCAGATGCAGAGAAGGAAGCAGAGGACGGAGGGCTTCCTGGAATTCTAGGGTTCCCTTCTGTGTTAACATCTTAGGTCCAGAGCAGACCCAAAATGAAGTATCCGAGTTCAAGGAAAAATTCTCGGTTGTGTGTGTGTGTGTGTTACTGGGGGGAGGGGGGGGGACACAAGGGGCGGCTGTGCAACCTCCTTGCTGCTTCTCCCTGGCTGACAGGGCCTCTGTCAGTACTTGCAGTATGGGGACTGCACTGCTTCCTGTTTGCCTCATCACCCCGGGCCATCGCCCCAGGCTCTCCTTTTCTTGCTGGATTCCTGAATTCTCTCGCTATTTGAATTTCGACCTGCAAGTCTGACTCTTCTCATGTCCGTGGGCCCCACCTCTGTCTTCCGCTCTCCCTCGTGTTGCTGTAGCCCTGGGTCTGGACAGCAGACTAGGAGCAGTTCTTTCTCTGCTGCTCACTGTTTCTCCATTCTCCTGTGTAATCTCTTTCTTATTCACCTCTCAGTTTTCAGTCTATCAGGAAAATCATGGAGAATAGAAGAGGTGAAAACCTCCATTCTCATAATGTGCATGGATTTTCCTAAGTGGATTCACATGATTCTGCCTTGATGCATTTTATTTTATCTCAATAAATTCTGTATTTAACAATCACACATATATTTGTAAATTTTTCTAAAACAATCAAATATACTACAATGGTTACTAATATCACTGTTACCATTCCAGTTTCCTGTGATAAGTGAGCATCCTGAAATCACTTGCACACATATGCGTTGCTCCTGAAGGCAGAGCGGAGCTGACATTCTAACGCACATTCTCCATAGCTCAGATGTGATCAAGGTCCTCAACCTTATACTCATCCCCAAAGGATAAGGCACCTCCACCTCCTCACCCTGCTCTGATCCTCATCTGGATCAGCATTCTCACTGATGTGCCCTGTGTCTAAGGACTGAAAATTCATGTTCTTGATGTGGTGTCTCAGGGGCATCTGTTGTTTCCCACCCAGAATGTGGATGACTTTGAGAATATGCCCTTCCCTGAAATGGAGTCTTATCCTCTCCATTGCACTTTCTGAATTACAGCTTCCTGCAGATTCATGAAAATCTGAAATATTTTATGGTTTACTTCTGTTTCATTCTTCTCTGCTATTCAGAGTTCAGTCATGATTGTACAACTATCATTGTCAAATTGAAACCTTAGAAACTCAGCTAAAGTAAAATTTAAAATTTGGCATTAATATTGTAACTTGTGTTTCAAAGAAAAGAAGTGAATAGAACCTGGAGGAATGTGGCGTTCCTGGGTGTTCATCTCACCACACACCTCAGCTGAGCTTCATTCAGCAACACTGCAGCTCCTCTGTGTCACTGTGTCTCTGCATTCTTGACCTGACAGTTACAAAGAGCCTCATCTTTTCCTCAGATGCATTTCACAAAGTTTACCCCCACGCTGAGTGTGCTCTCATCTCATCATGGAGCGAAAATCCATCAGTGAACCATTCTCAGATCCTAAGTATGAAACCCACCACCATCTTAGTCCCTGGTTATCAACTTCCTCTTCACTGATACCTTCCAGGTATTTTCCTCTTCCTCTTCATGTGTCAGTGTCTTGTTAATTGCTGGATCTTCCCACCAGACCTATAACGCAATGTAGAATACAGGCAACACCTGTCAATAATAAAATCCACAAAGGAGACAGGCACTTTCCTAATGTTACTGACCAAATCCTCACTGACCTTTCAAGACTTTAGCAGAACCTTTGACTCCCTCCACACCACAAGAGCTTATGCATTAACTGAACCTTTATTGTTCTCTCTATGGAATACATGGCAGTCTTCCTACAAATCTATCAAAGTCATATAATTCAAAAAAGAGATCAGAGCTGTGAATGCAGGGGTAACATTAAGCATGATCTCCGAGAAGGGAAGTAGAGGGGTCTGGTGTCAAAGATCAAAATCACTGCCATCCAGAGAGTAGCCAACTCACCTACTTCTGGATGTCAGGATCAGTGTGCTCCTGCTTGGACTCAGAACAACTACACCTGCTTCTCCAGATCCTAGCGTGAGAGTCAACTACAACCTGTTAATGTATTTCCTCATACTACTGTGGACTCAACTATTACCTGGATTCAGGCCACCTGATTATAAGTAGATTTGAGGAGTAGGAAAAAAAGGGTAGAAAAGCACACTGTGTTATCTAACTAACATGAGGAATGTAATCATTACATCTTTCAAATATGTACTAAAGAAAAAAATCTCTTAAAATAATTGTAAACAGGGTTTCATATGCTAGATTGAAATCTCTATCCATTAAATGACATGGAGAAACAAGAATTTCAAAGGACATGAATACAAATCAGTATGCATTGAAAGGACAGTGCACTGAAGGGCAAGGACTCATCACAGCCACAGGTGTGACACAATAGCACATCAGACCGGGTGTCTTGTGGATCACAGATCAGTTTCCCATGGGTCTTGTCCTTTTCCAAAATATACAAATAGCACTCATGGAAGTATAGATGATGTTGGACCTGTACTCCATGCTGAAGAGATCACATATGGAATGACCCCTTCATCTGTGCCTTTTTACACTGGAGGTCAAAATGTGCAGCCCTCATTCTCACGGTCTCCCTGTGAGGAGGGATGGAGCAGGGCTCTGCTCTCCATCACGACTCACTTAGGAATCCTCAGCCCCAGTTTTTGACTCAAAGTCAAATTGATAAGGATGTCAGTTCATGGAAGAATTCTTCAAAAAGATCTAATTAATGGCATTGGTAGATTCCATCTGTTTGTGGTGACCTTAGAAAATTTGTAACGTGTTTCCTGTGGAACTGAGTGGCAAGAAATCATGAGAGTCGTTGCTGTATTGTACTGGAAAACATTTCACTGAATCCCCCGTGCATCAATAGTAACCAAGAATTGTACAATTCTGGCTGAAAAAAAGATAGGAAAATCAGAGATAAGTTTTAACTTTAGGGACATTGTCATCATGAGCATAGTGTTTACAATGCATAATTGTTGAAAAAGGGACAACTCTAATTAGGTAAGCATTTGGAATTTAGGAATTACCTCCAGGAAATGAGAGAGGAATGTGAACCTAGAAAGGAAAGGACACCCAGCATCTACACAAGATCAGGTGGGGAGAGACACTTAACACAGACAGCCGCCTTTCCTCCCCGGTCTGTGAGGGAGGCACAGGACCCACATCTTCATCTCCAAAGCCTGCAGACTCTGGTCAATGGGACCTGGATCACAGGGCATCTTAGAGCAGGAGGCAGGAGGACCTCTCTTGACAACATTAATGGTGGTGAAATGAGCTCTGCAGCAATATGAATAGCACCAGAGGGGAGACTTGGGGAGAGAAGTAGAGGGCTGTGCTCATCTTCATCCTGTGGAAGGAGCACCAGAACCCATGTGAGAGGGCAGAGTTAGGCTGGGAACAAGATCGGAGCAGGACTGCAGGAAGCTGGTTTGGGGTTGGGAAAGAGGGGCCACAGCTCTGCTTCTTCCACTCCAGCGAAGGCAGCTTCACACCTATCACAGATGTGGACACCATGCAACTGTAAGGGAGGAGATTCCTCTCTGCACCACAAGGACCACAGACAACCTGGCCTGTGCCACAACATCATAAAGGAAAAGGGGCCTCCCTCATGCAAATTTGTCTCCGAAATTTAGACTCAAATTCCCCTCTTGGGCTGTTGAAGCTGACAGCTCCTTCCTGAGACACCTGTAAGATCTCAGCAGTAGGATAAGTTGTGGCCTAGAATATGAAATTTCTGGGTCTTCTCCTGTGCCTGGTGACAGGTCCTCATGGTGAGTGTCCTCAGTGTCAGTTATGGGCCCATGGGAAAATTAGGAAAACAGTTGGCAGATAGGAAATTTTACCCTTGTTTCCAGGTATCCTGTCCCAGGTGCAGCTGCAGGAGTCCGGTACTGGCCTGGTGAAGCTTTCGCAGACCCTGTCCCTCACCTGCATAGTCTCTGGATTCTCTATCACAACTAGTAGTTATGAGTGGCACTGGATCCGTCAGCCTCCAGGAAAGAGCCTCGAGTGGATGGGAGCCATAGGTAGCAGTGGTGGCACTGGGTACAACCCGTCCCTCAAGAGCCGCATCTCCATCTCCAGAGACACAGGCAAGAACCAGTTCTCTCTGCAGCTGAACTCTGTCACCGCAGAGGACACAGCCACTTATTATTGTGCAAGACACAGTTGTTTGATGCAAGTGTGAGCCCATACATAAACCTCCCTGTAGGGAAACTCATATCCGGCAGGTGGCGCGCTATACATACTGCTCTAAGGAACCACCTCCACCCTGTGCTAACAGCCTAGAGGGTTTTTTCACTACTCAAGGGGCAGACATTCTACGGACTTTCTATGTCACTGTTCTTACAGGGTTATATATTCATGGTATCACTCTTTTATTCATTTCCCCATATATCTCATTATGATTTTCTCAACACATTTAGAATGAAGCCCTTGTTCATAGTGCAAGTGATTATACTATCTCAAGGATTTTTAGGTGTAGAAATATTTAACCATGATAATTATTTCTCTATTGCCTGGAAGTCTGCATTCCACCCTCCATTGCATCTGCATGGAATCTCACCCTGAAGGGCACTTCCCCATTCTGTTCATGCCGAGACATTTACTCTGAATGGCTAGATAGCACTGTGTGTGTTAATCTGAGTGTTCACCTGTTATTGGAACTGTTCACTTCCCACCCTTGGTGATGTAGGTGGATGCCCTGGAGAGCTGTGGTAGATGCCGCTGTGGAGGGGCCTCACTCACCAACTGATTGTTAAGAAACCATCACACTGTCACACATACTGCAGTCCTAGGACACTGTCCAATCAGTACGACCCTCATCCATAAAGGAAATGAAGTTTATATCTTTGTGATTGCAATACCATTCATTGCACATACTCCTGGATGTATATACTCCCTCCTACATGATACTAGAGATATATAATACCCACATTTTTCATATCACTACATCCAGAAAATACTATTAAAGCATCCAGGGACTACAGGGCTATGAATCAGCTAGGGAAAAATTAGAAATATCATAAATTTTCTTATAGAGATGAACTTACAGAGAAAATATTTTTATAATGGGGTCACAAATAATTTAATACTGAAAACCTCATTCAACTGTATGCTTAAGTTGATCTCACTGTATGCGGGTAAAATTTCTGCAAAGCTCCATTATAAAAGACAAACAATAACTCTAGCAAACAAACAGCACAGAAACCAAGTCAAAAGTTCAAAATTTACTGCAAAGTTTTAGTGATACACTAATGTTGGGACCACGCATAGAGGTATGTGGAAGAAATGTCCTGCACAAATGACACAATAAAGCTTATTTTTAATGACACAGTGATTGAACACCAGAGCAGAACAAAGGAAACATAATAAATTCCTTAACTGGACAAGCTATAAATACCACAGGTTTACCAGAGGGAACACAGAGGACACATAAAGGGAGCATGTGATAAGGAGAGAAGTGTAGATGGACAGAAAACAGAGCCTGCTCAACAGGAAAACAGAAAAATGATCCAAAGTGGATTAAGAATCTTCCACTCCCACCACATGAAGAGAGCGGGGATTTGAGAGCTTGACAGCATCACACATGGAAAACGTGACCTGGAGTCTCATTTCTCAGGGTATCCTCAAGTGTCAGTCACAAATATTTTAGAGCCAGGGTCAGTCACCACCCATGAGGCTCCTGAGTGTCCAGTAACACTGAGGGCAGAGGATGCAGACAGCCTCAGGTATGATGAGCCCACGCACAAGTCCCTGCAGACATTCACAGGACCATCAAGGGATGCGCAGGGCACATGGAGCACAAAGGATCTACAGGAGAGCCGATGAGAATAACTGAAGGGTTTTCTTTCCACTATATTGTCCTCTCTGCCAGGACAATGGAGGCTGGAGTAGCTCTCATCTCTAAGCCTACAGTGCTGTGTGTTCATGGAGGAAGCCATTTTGCTTTTTAGCATCTAGCTCAGGTCAAGATTCACTTCTTGTTCTTCAATGATGTCTTACTTAAACCCAAGTGACTACACAGTGTAACTCAATGTTTGGTCTAGAAATACCTGAGGGTTACTCATTCCCTGTTAAGTACCCATCTGTCAGCCACTGTCAGGTAGATCTCCAAGTCATCCAATCCAGGTCCAACCACAGCCCTTTGATTCTAAAGTATATGAAACATTTTCTATGTGGATGTGTTTGTCCACACATTGCTATAGATCCTTTACCTTCCCTGAGAACCTGACAGAAGACACAGATCACTGCTACTGAAGCTGCTCACCTGCTGACTCAGGGCATCTTCCCTGTCACCCTCAACTCTCTGTTTCCTGACTCCCTTTCCAAGTCCTCCTCCTCAACCTGCTATTCAGCAGGGAGACTGTGGGGCCCAGTCCATCTGCTCCTGGCCACACTGCCCTTTGTTCATGTTCAGCACTGAGTAGAATTCTTGCAGACACTCTCCCAACAGCACTTAGATGGGCAAAGACTGCTGTCTTTTTAAGCTTATTCAAATTGTATGAAACTTAAAACAGTCATGTTTGTTCAAGTAAATTTTATTTAAAAGCTAATAAGAAAAAGTATTTAAAGAGCAATGAAGAGTTTCTGCCTAATTTTGTGTTCTTAGAACCCTAATTTTGTGTCCTCAGAACACCATCTGCAGATGGTGTTTTAGCCTGGGGTAAGGATCAACTCCATTCAGAGAGTACCTGGTATCCAACGATGTGTGTCAAATGGGGCAGTGAGAAGACAGCTTCTCATGCTGACACTGCCAAGTCTACACCAGCACCCAGAAGTCTGCTTATTGTAGTTGACCATGGCTATACTTGTGCTGGTGACAAAGGGCTGGCTGTGTTGGGTACTGCAGCAGCAGCATCTTCTCTGTCCCATTAGAAAAGCAGTTGTTTGGCCTCAAAATTTCACAGCTTCAAAGCCATGGTCAGACGTTCTCATGGTTTCTAGGATTTTCCTAAGTGCAATGGATGACAACACAACACATACCCTGTGGACTGTCCAAATTCCCAAAACTTGCAAAAGAGAGAAGAGCCTGGGTTCTGAAAACCCCTACAGAGATGTGCTCCGGGCATTTAAAGCTATTCCTCTATCCCCATTTTCCAAGACACAGCCTTCAGTGGGTGACTATTCATACCACAACACCAACTCTATCCATGCTGTCTCAAATGACAGGATTTTGAACATTTCTTTGGTTGAAAACTCCATGGAATTTTTATTATCCATTCATTTCTTGAAGGATACATTGCTTGATTCAGTAACTTAGCTAATGAAAATAGTGCTCCAATAAAAATGATAGCAGATGATTCAGTTTGATATTCCAATTGTAGAAACTTTGAATATATCCTAGCAAGGGAATTTATGGATTATACAGAATTTCTGTAATTTATGTTTATAGAAAATTCATGCCATTTTCTACTGGGGCCAAATCAATTTACATATCCTGCAGAAATGTAACACTTCCCCTTTCTACACATCCTGATCAGTGATCATCATTGTTTTATCATTTATCTTGCACCCATTAAAAATGAAGTGACTGTGAATGATAATACATTTTTCATTTTCATTTACATTTCTAGAATTGTTTTGTTGAGAATATTTTCTGAGCCAATTTGTCCATTTATACTTCCTTTAGACAAACATCTATTGAGATTGTTTTTCAGTTTTTAAACTACTTATTATCATTTTCATTGCTATTATTGTTATCATTATGATTGCTATTATTGTTTCCATTAAGCATTACAGCTTTTTTTTTACTTCATCGTGCATTGTTAGTTTAACCGTGTTGTCATCTAATATAGGACCAAAATGTTCAGATGATGTCTTTGCTTTCTATCCTTTATGCAAACATTATTTCCTTTATGCAAACATTTCTTTCTAGTTTGGTGTCATTCCATTTTAAGATTTTTTTTTGTCAGTTTATAAATGTGAGAGACAGGTTTTTTATCTCATTGTTCACAAGAGGGATACAAATTTTCCCAAGCACCATTTTCTGCAGTGCAGACCAATGTCCAAACCTGTACCTCTGCTCGTTGTATTGAAAATATTTTGGCTGCACAGGGGAGGGTTTGTTTCTCAGTTTTTTATTCTTTTCATTGGTGTACCTGTTAATTTTTGTCAGCAGCATGCTAGTTTGTATCCATATCTGATCTATATCCATTTATATAATCTCTTAGAGTGGTGCCTCATGATGCTATCAACATTGATTTTTTTTTTAATCCAAGAGTATTGTGTTCCCTAGATCATTTTTGTTACCATAGGAATCGAAGGATTTTGTTTCTACTTCAGGGGAAAATACCATTGTTGCTACTACAGGAATTGGGTTAAGTGTACATATTTATTTAGGTAATTCTAATTTTGCATGTTGAGTGATTTCCAAAATTAAGTGGGTAAAGTCTTCACTCCCAGCACCATGTTTAGGGGGTGCTATGCACATTTGAATTTTGTCCTTCTGGGAGCTCTCCAGGTACCTGGATCATGCACTAGAAGGGATCCTGGAACCCAGGTGCCCGCCGTGCTCTGTCTGCTCTGCTGTGGGAGGCAACCTCTTGTTTGTGCTCATCTCTCACTGTCATGTGCCACCCTTCACTGTTCTCATCAAAGGCCAAAACAACCATGTGGCAAGGGCTTTATGAACAAAACCATCATTGTACAGGAAATGGTACTGAGAACCCATGAATGGGATCAAACCAAATTAAAAGTCAACTGCACAGCAAATAATAGAACTAGTAACAGTGTGCAGAGGCAAAATCACAGTTCCCTTATGCAGGAAAACTTGCACGCATCCTGAGAAGAGGAAAGATGAGGAATTGCCTAAAAAAGGAAGAATGACATTATTATAAGTGTATCAGAATTTAAAAGCCACAGTAGTCTTATCACTCTGTTTAGTTTGAATATATTTTGTTTCAGTCTGTCTACTCATATGAGATTTGAGGGCACAGACCCAAAAATAACAGGTTATACCTCAGTAACTATCCTGAATTTCCTATTAACTTAAACTGAACCCTGTATTACTTACATTGTTTCACTATGACTGACCTTATTTGAAACTGGTTTGTTAGACCACTATTATGCCTTGACTGATTTTATTTGAATTTGATATGCTTGGTAGTATCAAGTCTAAGAGTAAAGACAACTTCTCTGAAGATGACAAGATGTAAAAGATATCCATTCCAGTTTTGATTATTAACT